TAAAAAACATTTACTGTTGAGAGACATCAGAATGTAATCATATGAATGTAACATTTGAAGACTTGGCAACGTTGCACATAGCAGTCAATTAAGGTATAAGCTAACTATCTAAATAAAAATATTTTCTTAGTAAAAAATTTCAGAAATTTCATATTTGCCCTCATTTTTTGTCTCATTTCTTTCATCTACCGTCAGGACCAAAATCATTTTTTCTTCAAAAACGGCTGGTGTAGCCAAGGTAGAGTTTTATAGCAACAAAATTTCATGTCGCAAAATCATAGTACATTTAGCTATTATCGTATACTTGAACTTATCGTACAAATACAATAATTATCGTACGTCTGGCAACGCTGTACCGTGGAGCTGTGAGAGTCAATCGTCATCGACAGGAGATCAGTCATAGCAATGTTCATGTGCGCTCTCAGAAATTTTTCTTAGCGGGAAGGGAGGATCATTTATCGGAAGAGATAACTTTGTGTGAGAGCTTACCTGCCACAAAACTTTTCAAATCCCCTAAATTGAACGCAAAAGACAAAATATGCAAATTTTAATTGTGTGAGCCTGTTTGACCGACTTGATTCATAAGTTTGTGTTACACATGTTCGACGCTAACTTTTTTCTGAGAAAGGTTAACTTGTGCTGAACATAATTTATAATATAGAATTGTTTACCTACTCTATTCTACATCTAAATAAGTCGAAAAAAATTGGAAATTAAAATCGCCACATGTTGTCTATCGAATAAAAAACATTTACTGTTAAGAGACATCAGAATGTAATCATATGAAAACATTTGAAGACTTGGCAACGTTGCACATAGCAGTCAATTAAGGTATAAGCTAACTATCTAAATAAAAACCTATTTCTTAGTAAAACATTTCAGAAATTTCATATTTGCCCTCATTTTTTGTCTCATTTCTATCTACTCTCAGGAACTAAAATCATTTTTCTTCAAAAACGGCCGGTGTAGCCAAGCTAGAGTTTTATAGCAAAAAAATTTCATTTCGCAAAATCATCGTACATTCAACTATTATCGTATACTTGAACTTATCGTACAAATACGATAATTATCATACGTCTGGCAACGCTGTACCGTTGAGCTGTGGGAGTCAATCGTCATCGACAGGAGATGAGTCATAGCAATGTTCATGCGCGCGCTCTCAGAAACTTTTCTTAGGGGGAAGGGAGGATTATTTATCGGAAGAGATAACTTTGTGTGAGAGCTTACCTGCCACAAAACTTTTCAAATCCCATTAAATTGAACGCAAAAGACAAAATATGCAAATTTTAATTGTGTGAGCCTGTTTGACCGACTTGATTCATAAGTTTGTGTTACACATGTTCGAAGCTAACTTTTTTCTGAGAAAGGTTAACTTGTGCTGGACATAATTTATAATATAGAATTGTTTACCTACTCTATTCTAGATTTAAATAAGTCGAAAAAAATGGAAATTAAAATCGCCACATGTTGCCTATCGAATAAAAAACATTTACTGTTAAGAGACATCAGAATGTAATCATATGAATGTAACATTTGAAGACTTGGCGGCGTGCACATAGCATATTTGCCCTCATTTTTGTCTCATTTCTGTCATCTACCCTCCGGAACTAAAATCATTTTTTCTTCAAAACGGCTGGTGTAGCCAAGCTAGAGTTTTATAGCAAAAAAATTTCATTTCGCAAAATCATCGTACATTCAACTATTATCGTATACTTGAACTTATCGTACAAATACGATATTATCGTACGTCTGGCAACGCTGTAACCGTGGAGGTGTGAGAGTCAATCGTCATCGACAGGGGATCAGTCATACAATGTCAGTGCGCGCTCTCAGAATCATTTTTCCTTAGGGGGAAGGGAGGATCATTATCGGAAGAAATAACTTTGTGTGAGAGCTTACCTGCCACAAAACTTTTCAAATCCCCTAAACTGAACGCAAAAGACAAAATATGCAAATTTTAATTATGTGAGCCTGTTTTTGACCGACTTGATTCATAAGTTTGTGTTACACATGTTCGAAGCTAACTTTTTTCTGAGAAAGGTTAACTTGTGCTGGACATAATTTATATACAGAATTGTTTACCTAACTCTATTCTACATTTAAATAAGTCGAAAAAGATTGGAAATTAAAATCGCCACATGTTGCCTATCGAATAAAAACATTTACTGTTACGAGACATCAGAATGTAATCATATGAATGTAACATTTGAAGACTTGGCACGTTGCACATAGCAGTCAATTAAGGTATAAGCTAACTATCTAAATAAAAACCTATTCTTAGTAAAACATTTAAGAAATTTCATATTTGCCCTCATTTTTTGTCTCATTTCTTTCATCTACCCTCCAGAACTAAAATCATTTTTTCTTCAAAAACGGCTGGTGTAGCCAAGCTAGAGTTTTATAGCAAAAAAAATCATTTCGCAAAATTATCGTACATTTAGCTATTATAGTATTCTTGAACTTATCGTACAAATACGATAATTATCGTACGTCTGGCAACGCTGTACCGTGGAGCTGTGAGAGTCAATCGTCATCGACAGGAGATCAGTCATAGCAATATTCATGTGCGCTCTCAGAAATTTTTCTTAGGGGGAAGGGAGAATCACTTATCGGAAGAGATAACTTTGTGTGAGAGCTTACCTGCCACAAAACTTTTCAAATCCCCTAAATTGAACGCAAAAGACAAAATATGCAAACTCTAATTGTGTGAGCCTGTTTGACCGACTTGATTCATAAGTTTGTGTTACACATGTTCGAAGCTAACCTTTTTCTGAGAAAGGTTAACTTGTGCTGGACATAATTTATAATATAGAATTGTTTACCTACTCTATTCTACATTTAAATAAGTCGAAAAAAGTTGGAAATTAAAATCGCCACATGTTGCCTATCGAATAAAAACATTTACTGTTGAGAGACATCAGAATGTAATCATATGAATGTTAACATTTGAAGACTTGGCAACGTTGCACATAGCAGTCAATTAAGGTATAAGCTAACTATCGAAATAAAAATATATTTCTTAGTAAAACATTTCAGAAATTTCAAATTTGCCCTCATCTTTTTGTCCCATTTCTTTCATCTACCGTCAGGAACTAAAATCATTTTTTCTTCAAAAACGGCCGGTGTAGCCAAGCTAGAGTTTTATAGCAAAAAAATTTCGCAAAATCATCGTACATTTAGCTATTATAGTATTCTTGAACTTATCGTACAAATACAAAATTATCGTACGTCTGGCAACGCTGTACCGTGGAGCTGTGAGAGTCAATCGTCATCGACAGGGGATGAGTCATAGCAATGTTCATGCGCGCTCTCAGAAATTTTTCTTAAGGGGAAGGGAGGATTATTTATCGGAAGAGATAACTTTGTGTGAATGCTTACCTGCCACAAAACTTCTCAAATCCCCTAAATTGAACGCAAAGACAAAATATGCAAATTTTAATTTTGTGAGCCTGTTTGAACGACTTGATTCATAAGTTTGTGTTACACAGGTTCGAAGCTAACTTTTTTCTGAGAAAGGTTAACTTGTGCTGGACGTAATTTATAATATAGAATTGTTTACCTACTCTATTCTACATCTAAATAAGTCGAAAAAAATGGAAATTAAAATCGCCACATGTTGCCTATCGAATAAAAAACATTTACTGTTAAGAGACATCAGAATGTAATCATATGAATGTAAGATTTGAAGACTTGGCAACGTTGCACATAGCAGTCAATTAAGGTATAAGCTAACTATCTAAATAAAAACCTATTCGTAGTAAAACATTTCAGAAATTTCATATTTGCCCTCTTTTTGTGCCTCATTTCTTTCATCTACCCTCCGGAACTAAAATCATTTTTTCTTCAAAAACGGCTGGTGTAGCCAAGCTAGAGTTTTATAGCAAAAAAAATTTCATTTCGCAAAATCATCGTACATTTAACTATTATCGTATACTTGAACTTATCGTACAAATACAATAATTATCGTACGTCTGGCAACGCTGTACCGTGGAGCTGTGAAAGTCAATCGTCATCGACAGGGGATCAGTCATAACAATGTTCATGTGCGCTCTCAGAAATTTTTCTTAGGGGGAAGGGAGGATCATTTATCGGAAGAAATAACTTTGTGTGAGAGCTTACCTGCCACAAAACTTTTCAAATCCCTAAATTGAACGCAAAAGACAAAATATGCAAGCTAACTTTTTTATTAGAGAGGCTAAATTGTGCTGGACCTAATTATTAATGAACTGATGACAGCATTGCGTAAGAAGTATAGAGTCAACCTGCTTGACGGCATTTTTTATTATAGAACTGTTTATACGTTTGGGTAAGAGATCACAGACAACACCCACAAATATAGCGACACCGACGCAGATCCGCACAATGCCGAACAGAGGCTTCTTCTTTTCTCACATAGGCTGGTTGATGAGCAAAAAGCATCCTGCTGTCATTGAGAAGGGAAAAACTATCGATATGTCCGATTTGGAAGCTGACTGGTTGGTGATGTTCCAGAAAGAGTAAGTAATACTATGATAAAGTAATACAAAAGGACTGTCTCTTGGATGCTTTGAACACAGGGTATGGTACTAGTGGAATAACTCTCATTTCGGAAATACTCGCAATTGCGAAACTTTCTGTGTTTGTTACCTAAATACGCAGCTTCGTCCCACTCCAAGATCTCAATGCTGATAGTCGAATTTGAAAACAACCGGTATTTAAGGTACTGAAGACGATCCTAATATGATCCTATTATGATACTCTATAGTCCCCCAAACCTTATGATGCATGCAACCATATAAAGAAAACTAATTAATGAATTGCATTTTTGTAGGTACTACAAGCCACTCTACGTAATCTTTGCTATAGCTATACCGGTTGCTATACCAGTGTGGCTTTGGAACGAAACTTACTACAACTCCTTCTTCGTGTGCTACATGTTCAGGAACATCCTGGTACTCAACGTCACGTGGTGTGTCAATAGCTTGGCGCATTTGTATGGAACCAACCCTTTGATAAGTAAGTTTGATTTGGTGATGTCATCTGGCCGCCAAGGTCATCGGATTTAACCGCTCCTGACTGTTTTATGGGGATTTTTGAAATATACCTAGGGCTTATGCTGACAAACCACATACTGTAGTAGAGCAGCTGAAGAACAATATTACGGGAGCGATTGAAAATATTCCTCCCGAAACCTACAAAAAGGTGAAGGAAAATGTAATCAAGGGCTCAGGTTTGCGGGGCTTCTAGAGGCGGACATTTTCCTGACAGTATTTTTCATACACAATTTCTAATAAGAGATTAAGATTTAAAAATGGACGTATTTTATTTCATTTAAAAATATTCAAGTTACAAACCAGTCAGTTACATATCGGTTACTCTGTACAACGTAGGAAAAACAATAAAAGAGAAATAGAACCTTTCAAAACTTCACAACAAGTCATGATGGTAAACTACACAGAGTAAAATGACAAATCATGAGTTGTGGACCTACAGATGATTAGCTACACTATACAGGGTGTTTCAGTTTATTGTTGCATAACTTTAAGATTCGATAGAACTTTTAAAATTAATGCATAAAGTCTATATAAACATGGGTCGAAAAATGCGTGGCTTCCGAAATACAGGGTGTTTAAATTTACTTTTTAAAATAGTTTTTTTAAATATTTCGAACAACATTTGATGTATAACAGTGAAAATTGGTATACAAGAGTTTTTGGTACAAAACAAACCATGGGCATAGTCTCACTGTAGCCGCTAGAGGGCGCTCTCTACTGTACCTGTAGTGTATTAAAATGACCGAAAAAATTTTTCTTAGTGCAATTTTTCCTATTTGAATAAAAAAACTGATTCTTCGCACTTTTCTGCATAAAAAAGGTTTCCTGTGGGTTTTCGTTATAGTTAGCCGTTTTTGAGATATTCGATTTTTAAGGTTCGATGCATTTTTAATTATTTATGGGAAAATAATATTTTTGTTATACTTTCGATTTGGGCATTACAAGTAATTAAGATGATCGTTTAGATTGTGTTTTTAAACACAGCAATAATTCCTAACTCCAAATAAACACAAAAAAACAGAATATTAATTTGTTTAATTTTCCAATATTATTTTTAACAAATTAAATTAGCTATTTACAACTAAAATGCTATTGGATAGTTAGGACAAACATACAAAAACTAAAGTAGTTGCTCGAAATGTAAATCCAATTGTTCAATACACAATTCACATCTACGAATGATCGAACGTGGTATAGCATTATTCAAATAAGGCCTTATTTCATCACATGCATTCCTGATTATGTCTATTAGCATATCTCTTGTGGTTACGGGAGTCTGGTACACTTTTTCATTTAGAAATCCCCACACAAAGAAATCTAATGGATTTAGGTCAGGGGATCGTGGAGGCCAGGCGACTGGTCCTCCACGGCCGATCCATCTTTCTGGATAATTTTCGTCCAGCCAGTTTCTAACTATTTTCGAATAATGAGCTGGACAACATTCAAGCTGGAACCAGGCCAATCTTCTTAAATCTAACATAACATCATCCCACAAATTTGCATGTTCAGCGTTTAAAAATTCCAAGAAGGTCGCAGCATTTAACCTTGCAGGCAAAAGGTAGGGTCCAAATAGTCGATTACGGTAGATACCAATCCACACGTTCACACTAAATTCATGCTGAAAATTTCTTTCCCGAACTGCATGCGGATTTTCTTGCGACCAAATATGTTGATTATGAAAATTTACCACTCCACGTCTAGTGAAGAATGACTCATCGGTCCATAAAACGTTACTTAAAAACTCCCTATTATTATCAGTTCTATCAAGAATCCACTGACAAAATGTGATTCTTCGTTCTCCGTCCCCTGGCTGTAGTCCTTCCACAGGTTGCAAATGGTAAGGACGTCTATGGTCATTTCTAAGAACACGGTGAACATGGCTTGCTGAAATTCCCAAGGCACCAGAAACTCTCCTAACACTTGTAGTCGGATCTCTATCAAACTCACGCAGAATCATACGGGTACATCTGCGCTGACGAACATTTATGTTTTGATCCCTTTGGAGATTTCCAAAACCATTTTCAATTATTTGGCGATGCACTCTTACAAATACTGAGCGACTTGGATGTCGTCTGTTTGGAAATCTTCGTGCGTATTCTCTGGCTGCTTCTGCTGCGTTTCCATTTACAAAGCCATACACAAAATGAATATCCGCTAACTCTTGATTGGAGAATAAAAATGGCATTTTATAAAACTTACAAAAAACTGGTAAAAGAAACAAAATTTCGTGCATTCGCAATTGCAAAAAAACGTTTTAGGTTTCAACAGACAACAAAACTAACTGTCAACTAATTGACGTTTAACCTTATTCTGCTTTCAATTTCAAAAATATTTGCAGGCACAGCCTATATGTACTTCTAAAAATTATCGAATACTGACTTTTTAACGTTATTTTATCATAAATAATTAAAAATGCGTCGAGCCTTAAAAATCGAAATATCTCAAAAACGGCTAACTATAACGAAAATTCACAAGAGAGCTTTTTATGTTGAAAAGTGCGAAGAATCAGTATTTTATTCCAAAAGCAAAACATTGCACTAAGAAAAAATTTTCGGTCATTTTAATACACTACAGGCACAGTAGAGAGCGCCCTCTAACGGCTACAGTAAAACTATGCCCATGGTTCGTTTTGTCGTACCAAAAAACCCCTGTATGCCAATCTTCACTGTTATACATCAAATATTGTTCGAAATATTTAAAAAAACTATTTTAGAAAGTAAATTTAAACACTCTGTATTTCGGAAGCCACGCATTTTCCGACGCATGTTTATATAGACTTTATGCATTAATTTGAAAAGTTCTATCGAATCTTAAAATTATGCAACAATAAACTGAAACACCCTGTAAATATCAGTGGCGAAGCGTCCATGTAACCATTGTTACCATTGGTAACAGTTAGAAATCTTATATTTTATGACTAAGTACTGTGGCATAATTTCATTTATTTGTTTAGTAACAGCGATGTGTAATAGTAATTCGGTAAATAGCAAATTAGCCCCACGAAAATATTGCGCCCTATAGTGTCTAGGTTTTGCGAACACGATGAAGCTGACTCGCCTCGGCTTGCCTGTCGATTGTTACCATTTTCATTTATGGATACACTTGGTAGTCCGTCGGGGACCGTCGGTACCGGCTCGTGTCTGATCGCGGTCGCCCGAGTGCGTGGGGCGCTGCGACTATTATGTGGGCTTGTTACCATTTTTTGATTTAGTTACTCACTTGCTCACTTCTCACTCGTTAGTAGCCGTTTTGGTTATCGGCTGTAGTGTGCGCATTATGGATGAGTGTCGCTGCGTAATCGATCAACTACTTGAAAAGTCATTCTCCTTGTATAATTTTTAAGAAAAAAAGGATATAATTGAAAATGGAAGACCAACACCTATTTTAGATGATTTTAAAAAGGAATAAAAAACGCAGTTTGATATTCTAACTTAAGTTGGTATATGGAAACTCTTAGTTATGTGGTTGCAAAAAAACAGATTGTATTGTTGGCGATGTCTTCTGTTTTATACAGAAAAAAATGGGTGGACCAGCAGCGGAGTCAACGATTTAAGTAGTTTTAGGGCTCTAAAGCGGAGACACGAAATTTCTCCGTTACAAGGGGGGATATGTAGCCAATTTAATTCATTTTGGCAAAACAAGAATCGAAAGTTGTTTTAACCAATCTTTTAGGCAGCACACTTCTAGATACCGTATGTTTTTTGGCAAAACAGGAATTACCGTTTATTTTGAAGGGGATGACTCTGACAATAGAGGAAATTACAGGGAATTGTTAACATTCATTGCCAAAAAAGATCAAAAATCTAGAAACGACGACTGTTTTTTCGGACGGCTTGGATTAGTCATAGCATAAGCCGATGAGGTATATCAAGTGCCCCAGACGCTCAGTCCGGGAACGTTTACCTTAATTTAAAAATAGTTTAAGTAAAATACCTAAAATAAGCAAAAGCTTATATTTGGGAGGTTCAAAATAAACTTTTTTGGATAAGATTTTTCCCATCTGGTTTTGGTAACAGTTTAGGAAAAGTTACGCGTCGCCACTGATAGTTAGCAGTCTGTTCTGTGATTTCTGGTATCATCGTTAAAAGCTCCATCTGATTGTTGCGCGGAACACTAATACGTAACAAACAAAACTGAAGCGACGATTGTTTACAGTATTCTGATCAGTGACACTTGCCCCATCTGTTATCGTCTTATCAAAAATTTTGAATCCAATTCAATTTCATAGTTTGCAATATTTCCAAATATACTAAGTGACATATAAATCCGAACACCCAGTTTAAATGGTTTTATTTTAATAAAAGTTGGTGAATGTATTTATCTTACTGTAAATAACAAGTGAACAAATTTTCAGCCTTATCAGTTGGACATTCCGGTTTTTATACTGCTTTTTTTTAATTCACTAACGCTCTAAAAATGAATATTTCAGCCGCAGTAAACAATCAACGTTGGCGGATTTTGGTTCTTGACATCCTTTACGATCGGTTACGATGCCTAGAGTACGGAGACCTGTACGATTTCGTCAACTTAGTGAGTTTGATAGGGGCCGTATAGTGGGACTTCGGGAAGCTGGACTTTCTTTTCGGGCAATTACAGTTAGAGTGCAAAGAAGTGTAGACACTGTGGTTAGGTGTGATCAGGCATGGCTTCGAGAAGGCCGTACGCAAAGAGCAAGGGGCACTGGACGCCGCCGTAGAACAACAGACCGTGAAGATCGCCGCCTAAGATTATTGGCCTTAAGGGACCGTTTCTCCACTACCAGGTCCATTGCAAATGAATGGTTTGCAGAACACGGAAGACCTATTGGCATGCGAAGTGTTTACCGACGAATGAGAAGTTTTGGCTTGTTTTTATACCGGCCACACTGGGTCCTCCCTTAAACTCAAGAACACCGACGTAATCGCCTTGAGTGGTGCAGACAACGGTCACTCTGCGATCACGAATGGAACAGTATTGACTTTAGTGACGAGTCTCGATTTTGTTTAGGCATGCACGATGGTCGTGCCAGGGTTAGAAGGCGACGTGGTGAAAGGAGGAATCCACAGTTTTTTGTTGAAAGACATGTTCATCACACTGTTGGAGTTATGATTTGGGGTGCTATAGCTTATAGTTCCAGGTCACCTGTAATCTTCATCAGAGGTAACATGAACGCGCACCGTTATATCCACGAAGTTCTAGAACCCCATCTTTTACCCTATCTTGACACCCTGGCAGATCCAACTTTCCAACAAGATAATGCCCGACCACATGTTGCAAGAGTCACAATAGACTTCTTTCAACATAATGATGTCACATTGTTACCATGGCCACCAAGATCTCCGGACTTATCCCCAATTGAGCACGTGTGGGATATGATGGGTAGGAGATTGCTCAATTTGCAACGTCCTCCTCAGACTCTAGAAGCACTTCGAGAGGAGTTGGTGGTTGCCTGGAATGAGATACCACAGGAGGACATTGACCACCTAATCAGAAGCATGCCTAGGCGCGTTGGAGAATGCGTGCATCCACACATTATTAAAGGTCAAAGAGCTTTAAATCAGTGCAATCAATTTGCAATTTTTATCATTTACTTATTATGCTTCATTAAGTACTTATACAAAATTTTATTAAAATAAAACCATTTAAACTGGGTGTTCGGATTTATATGTCACTTAGTATAGATACATCATAAAATAGATCAACACAAAATAGTTCTTCGAAGATATGTAACTCAGTCACATTTGAAATACAAAATCAACAGCCTCGACGCCATTATTAGACCAAACAAAAGCAAGACAAACTATACCTACTTGCTTATTAAAGCTAGTCACACACCTTGACACTTTAAAAAAATACAAAATATTTATGAAGATGGCTAGTGCGTCTGTACACAAATGTAGGTCTTTTATAAAATAGGAACTGTGTGTATATTATACATGGTGCTTTCAAAGTTGAGTTATTTATTTTAACTGCTTATACCAAAAATTACCTATATAAAAGTTGCATAATAAAAGAAATAGTAAAAGATTAAAATTGAATGTTATTACGAGTAAACAGATTTTTTGATGTTCTTGACTACTGCCACTGACCAAGATTTTATTTCCGAAGCTTGTAAAGATTCGAGGATTCGCCGAGCAAAATGTTGCGTTAATCGAACCAAAGGGGACAATTTTGAACTGTTTTTGTAAAAACGATATCCATTTAACTTGATAATGATTTTTTTAAATACAGCTGACGCTCGATAATGTAACTAATTTAATCCAAGTGTGGTTCACATTATCGAAATGTTTACATTAGCGAACGTGATTTATATAATGTTTGATTTCTTAAAAGAAACGTTTAATACATACTATTTATAACAAAATAAACAAATATTCTAACAGCGATAAGTATTTTTTTAATTAGAAGAAAAATAATTATCAATTTTTGTCTGCGTAAATTTGCGCTTAGCATTGTCTTCCAATGAATGCGCCCGTAATTTACGAAGAACTAAAATATCCGTTTATGAAACTTCTTTTCTTTCAGCCCAATCTAAAGCTTGGTTAAAAACTTGTATAGCTTGCGCGTCAGTCACTACACTTCTGACTTCAATGGGATCGTTCTCATCATCCTCACTGTCCATATACCTCGTCCTTATCAGCATCATTCGTCTGCTTATCTTCGTTCCATAAATTAATATCAGCAGGAGTACAAACAATGTTGGGATTCACTGTTTTCAATAAATCAACAACATCCAATGACACACTAATAACATTATCATTATTGGATCGCAAACGTTCTCTAATTACGCTTAAGGGGACATCGTCTTCTTCATCATCTTCATTATTGGTACAAAAGAGATTGTTCCAACATTTTTGAATAGTTTGCTGGTTAAGTTCATTCCAGGCCATATGTAAATCTAAAACAGCTTCTCGTAATGTTACTTTTTTTAAAGCCTCAGATAAGTTTTCAGGATTCTTTGATAAGACAGACGAAAGTAGAAACTTCCTATAGTATAGTTTGGTGAGTCTTATTATATTCTGGTCCATCGGTTGAATTAACGGTGTTACGTTGGGCGGCATGTAGATGACGAAAATTGACCCATCCCTGCTCCTCAGTTGTTGCTCGGGAGGATGACTTGGTGCATTATCCAATAGTAACAATGCTTTTATTGGAAGCTTCTGTTGTTTTAGGAAACCTTTTACCTACAAATTGAAAACACATCTTCAAATTATGAATAGAGCATTTGTGATAATTGACTGTCATACCTGAGGAACAAAGCACCTGTGGAACCATTTCAGGAATATACTGCTAGTCATCCAAGCGGTTTTTGAACAGTCATAATCAACAGGGATATTAACATTTTTAAATGAGCGCGGCTTTTTTGCTTTCCCAATTACCAGTGGCTTTATTTTGTGTGAACCATTAGCATTAGTGCATGCTAGAAACGTTATTCGTTGTTTCTCCGGCTTTCTTCCCGGGGCAGATTTTTCAAATGATGCAGCATAGGTGTTCTATGGTAACATTTTCCAATAAAGGCCACTTTCATCTGCGTTGTAAATTTGTTCCATTCTTAAATCTAGCTCGGTAATTGTTTTCATCAATTTTTCTTTGAATGGTTTCACCAATTGTGGTTGTGCTGATAATTTTTCACCAGATATAGACAGCAGTCGAATTCCATATCTTGTTTTGAATCGTTGTAGCCGACCATCACTAGCTACGAAATTTTCAGTTTCTTTCAGTTTTATATTTAACAGTATCGCTCTCTGTTTAAGTACTTCGCCACTAACTGGGACATGATTTTCCCGTTGTTTGAAAAACCACTTATACAGGGAATCTTCCATTTTAGGTGCCTTCGCATTTTTTATAGTTTTTCTTTTTCCCGGACCTCCAAATGTATTGCACGTTCTTTGTAAAATTTGAGTTTTCGTATGCTTAATTTTACAGATTGTTGCTTTCGATACTCCATATTTTTTTGCTAACTGTGTCACTCCCGCACCTAGTGCAACTTCGTCTATGATTTTCACTTTCTCACTCAAATTTTAAACACTTTCTATTATAGGATGTGGATGCCATAGTCGTAAAATATATTAACGCGTGCAATGTATTCACTTAAGTTCAAAAATGAAATACATACGTACGTATAAACGTATCCTAAACGATCATACGACTGACCGAGTTTGTCGTATTTTATCGCAGAGGTGAATCCCCTACACTCTACATCATAAATCGGGGACTCCCCGACGCCCGACATAAATCATCGAGGCTTCAGCATTTTACCGTCGCGCTGTTTCCGTGCGCCGAGAGTTGTTTACGTTATCGAGCGTACACATTGTTTACGTTATCGCGCGTTCCGTTTGATCCTATAGAACGAAGTTTGTGTTTACCTTAGCGCAAGTTTTCATTATCCCGTGTTTACGTTACCGAGCGTCAGCTGTAATTAATAATTCAAAGTACTTCTCTTATTATTCAACTTTTATATAGGTTATTTTTAATATATGAACTTCTTTTGAAGAGTTCTGCAAGCTGTTAAAATAAATGACTCAACTTTGATGTTGTATGTGCTTGTGATGTTATATTAACGTAAATGACCGAAAGACAATACAAACAAAGATGCATATTCCCTATTGGGTATCTTCTGGTGAACAATGTTAGATACTACGAATCGGTAGTATAAAACAAACTTTTTCAGGTTTATCCTCCCGGTAGAATCCCAGTTTGTGGCGTTCATCGCGATCGGCGAAGGTTGGCATAACTACCATCACGCTTTCCCATGGGACTACAGAGCAGCAGAACTGGGTTCCAAATATAACGTCACCACCTTCATCATCGATGTCCTTAACTACTTTAACTTGGCTTACGATCTGAGAAGTGCTCCGTACAAGATGATCGAGAAACGAGCTCTGAGGACTGGAGATGGAACACACCAGGTAAAGTTCTACAAAAAATCTATGCATCATGTTCTTATAGTTGGGATTTTTTTACACAGCGTATAGTTATTGTAAAACAAGACATCTGAGTGATTAGATTCTGTAAAATTCAGCGATCTCAAACGATTAGGAGAACAGGTTCGACGGCTGACAGTATCTAAGCAAGGCGTCGCGCGCCGTGCAGGTAAATAAAGCTGTTTGTTCATAAACCGGATTCGAAAATAGAGAAAATGGCACATTCCTATATCAACAACGAATTTGACGCTAGTTGATGCGATTGTCTTCAAGATTACATATCACCGGTCTCCAATCTGTAAGATCAATCCGATTTGCTGTTGACAGCACCCTACACGCAGGAATTTAGAGTGTCAGGCCGATCCCTGCCGGTGAGCTAGAGAGAAGAAGACCACCAGTGACTTCTTCTCAGGCGAAAGATTTTTTTGTAGCGATGCCCCGGTGTTCAGGCTTATGCCTGCGCTGCTGGTTCGGTAAAAAGATATACTAAATATCATATAAAATGCAAAAAATTGAATTTTGATAAAAACTGGTAAGCATATTTGCTATCATGGATGTATACGCTGATAAAATGTTGAAGGCTTTCCGAGCCGCATTGTTCTTGTAAAGGTTTTTTTTGTCATATTAATATCCAAAGAATATGAACATTTTTACTGAATACTCAGTATTTTTTCTATGTTGGTTCCATTTTTTCAATGCTGTTTCATTGCATTATCATGCCTAGAGTTTCCCCGAGTTTGAAAGCGGTCCGATAATCGGATTTTCTTTAGGAGAAATCGATAATCCGGTGAATCGAAACGAAGCTACTGTAATGAGATGTTGTCAAGCGTGGTTCCAAGAAGTCCGAAATCAACGAGTTACGGCTACTAGACGTCAAAGATAGACTACAGAGCGACATGATCGACTTCCTGAACATCAATCAATCCCGCTTCAGAGGTAGTTCTCGGTGATTTCAATGCCCATAACACTGATCAACAGCCAAAAAATATCCTAAATAAAATCAACAAAATATTACTATTTGTAATGTGCTAAAACCGGAATGAAACTTATTTTTTCAATATTAGTTCAAGTTTCAGAGATACGGTAATTATATGTGTTCCTGCTGTGACAGTGTTAATATACTGTAATTCACAAGAATGCACGTGCTACATTTTTATATCCGGCAAGGAAAGATGATGTAATCGGCATGATTGTGTTACGTTATACATACGTGTACATTATATTGTTTTATATTAGCCATTTTTTCCTCAGTTGGCTGACAGCGTTCATGCAAGATGTCTCGAAAGTGTGTAAACAATCCAGATCAGTTTTGTTACGTGTGTGGTGATGTGACACTAATAACAAAGGCATATCAGCTTTATTTCGGTTGTAAACTAGGTGATCAAGACAAACAGTGGGCACCCCACATCTGCTGTAATACATGTGCTTCAAGTCTGAGGAGCTGGTTAAATGGCAAAAAAACGGTCTATGCGCTTTGCTGTCCCAATGGTTTGGAGAGAGCCTTCAAATCATATTAATGATTGTTACTTTTGCATGGTACCTTGTGTTGGACAAGCCACAGGTATGTCCAAGAAAAAAAAATCGGTTATTAGCTACCCAAACATACCATCTGCGATGAGACCTGTGCCTCACAGTGACGAAAATCCTATTCCAAAACCCCCAGAATCCTACACTTGCGAATCAGAAAACGAATCAGATCATGGCGATCGAGTGATTCGCCAGGAAGAAGATATGCCATCAACGACAAGAGATCCTTATTTTATACCGAGCACGTCATGCCACCAACCGCACAAAATAACACAGTCAGAATTAAATGATCTTGTAAGAGATTTAGAACTTCCAAAATGTAAGGCAGAGTTACTTGGATCAAGACTGCAGCAGTGGAACTTGTTAGAAGACGATGTTTCGGTATGTGTTTTTCGTAAACGCCACAAAGACTTAGAACCATTTTTCAATATGGAGAATAACTTGGTTTTCTGCAGTAACATTAATGGCTTACTGGCGGCTTTAAATATAAACTATAACCCAGAAGAATGGAGATTGTTTATAGACAGTTCAACATTGAGTTTAAAGGCAGTGTTATTGCATATTGGAAATATTGTACCATCTCTTCCTGTAGGGTATGCAGTTCACATGAAAGAATCATATGACAATATGAAGTACCTATTGACATGCATAAAATACGATGAGCACCAATGGCATATTTGTGGCGATTTGAAAGTTGTTGCACTTTTACTTGGGCTGCAGCTAGGCTACACAAAGTTTTACTGTTTTTTGTGTGAATGGTATAGTCGGGCAAAGGCACTTCATTACACCAGACAAAACTGGCCTGTTCGTCAATTCCTAGAGCCAGGTCAAAAAAATGTACAGCATATGCCATTAGTAGATTCGAAAAAAAAATTATTACCACCACTGCATATCAAGTTGGGCCTAATGAAAAACTTTGTCAAGGCATTAGATAGAGATGGGTCAGCTTTTCAATACCTGCGTCAGAAATTTACAAGACTAAGTGAGGCAAAGGTTAAAGAAGGTATTTTTGTTGGGCCACAGATTCGAAATATTTTGAAAGATACACAGTTTGAAAACACTTTAACAGGTATTGAAAAAACTGCTTGAAATGATTTCCGTCTGGTGCTCACTAATTTCTTGGGAAATAGAAAAGCTGACAACTATAAAACCCTTGTCAAAAATATGCTGTCGTCGTATCAAAAGATGGGCTGTAATATGTCTCTTAAGATACATTTCCTACACTCACACCTGGACTTTTTTCCTGACAATTGCGGAGCCGTAAGTGATGAGCACGGCGAACGTTTTCATCAGGATATTTCACCAATGGAAAAAAGGGTACCAGGGAAAGTGGAATCCTTTCATGCTTGCAGACTACTGTTGGACTCTTGGTAGAGATGCTCCAGAAACGATCCATAAAAGAACAGCAAAAAGACAGCGCATATAGTGATTCCTATAAGTATATGAATCATGTTACTTTTTTAATATATCCTTAAAAATAAAAAGTTTTAATTCTAAACCGCAACTAATTTTTTTATTTCATTGTCATTTTTGGATTCAGTGCCCCAAAATTAACAAAGAAGTGCACTTTCCCACAAGATACAATTAAAAAACCAAAATTTGTTGTCCAGTGTAATGAGCGCTTTGGCTGGGCTTAAACAAGACCGATGCAGCAGGTCGTGCAGTCGAAGCGTTCGCTCTTACTCAAGAGCTGACCCAGCTGGTGACGAGCCCTACTGTTTTCCCCGCGTCTCGTCACATGCCAGTGGACTGCTAGATCTCTTTCTGTCCCTTACAGCACTGCTGTCTTGACCCCCCGGGTAACTCAGACCACGGTGTTATGGAGGATAGGTTTCGGCCAGAACCCGCTGTGGCAGCAGAAACTCGTACAGGCCGCAAAACCTGGCATTACGGACATGCCGACTGGGAGGGGCTCAGAGACTTTTACTCTATCTATTCTCCCAGAAAAGCTTTGCAGATGGGTGGCTTGACTTTATCTCTGGCCGCAAGATGTCCGTTGTTATTGACGGGTTCTCCTCTTCATCCCACAACGTCAACGCGGGTGTTCCTCAGGGATCGGTCTTGGGCACTTGCGAACCAGTGGTTTGTCGCAAGGGCCATAACAGTGAGGACACTTTATCGCCGAATAAGGTTTTCTTTTGGACTGTTATCATTGTCCTCATTTTGTACTACCTCTGACCTCACAGCGTCGTCGGCAACGATTGGAATAGAGTAGGGAGAGACTTGAATGGAATATGGAATGGAACTCAGTCGTGTTCAATACATTCTTAACATTAAGGTGGGGTATCTCAGATATTTTGCGAAATTTCGAGTTAAACTTTTAATCACTTTCTATTTATCAGTAATTCTAAAACTTGTAAAAGTATGCTCAAAATCACAGAACTCCTAACCGGTGTGGCATTTTCTATGTCATTTAGAATATTACTGATGCTTCATGAGTGTATTAAACGGGTAATTTTTTAAGAGGTATAGGATTTGATTTAAAAAAAAAACACAAAAATTTGAAAAAACGATTAAATCTTTATTTGAGTCGATAGAACGGTCGATATAATTTAATTTATTTCATGTAAATGTTGGCCGCGGCACCGCTTTAGATGGCCCATGCGCAAGGTCCAATTTTGGCACACTCTCTCCAACATATCGGCCGGTATCTCACGAATAAATGCTTCAATATTGGCTTCCAGTGCGTCAATCGTTGCTGGTTGATCCCTCTAGACATTAGCCTTAACATGACCCCACAAGAAATAATCCAACGGCGTTAAATCACACGATCTAGGCGGCCAATTGACGGGCCCCAAACGTGAGATAAACTGTTCACCGAACTCGCCTCTCAATAGGGCCATTGGTGTGCGTTGTGGCATGTGGCACCGTCTTGTTGAAACCACATGTCAGCCAAGTCCAGCTCTTCCATTTTGGGCAAAAAAAAGTTTGTTATCATCGCACGGTAGCGCTCGCCATTCACAGTTACCTTCCGGCCATTGTCGTCTTTGAAGAAGTACGGCCCGATGATGCCACCGGCCCATAATCCACACCAAACAGTGATTTTTTCGGGATGCATTGGTAGCTCTTGCAATGCTTCTGGCTGGTCTTCACTCCAGAAGCGGCAATTTATGCTTGTTAACGTACCCATTCAACCAGAAATGAGCTTCGACCGTGAACACAATTTTTCGATAAAAATGTGGATCTTCCTCCAACTTTGCCAGCGCCCATTCACCAAATTGGAAACGTTGTGGGAGGTCGTGTGGCTTCAATTCTTGCACCAGCTGTATCTTATAAGGTTTTAAACCCAAATCCTGTCGCAAAACTTTCCGCGTAGTGGAGTAACAGAGGCCCGATTGCTGCGAACGGCGGCGAATCGACATTTCACGGTCATCACTAACACTGGCGGATACAGCCGCAATATTTTCTTCAGTCCTCACTCTACGTGTGCGTGTTGGTGGTTTAATGTCCAATAATGTAAACTGGGTTCGAAATTCAGTCACAAGCTTCCGAATAGCTCCCTCAGTAGGCCGACCAAATTGCCCATAAATTGGAAGCAGTGCTCGATGCACTCTCTTAACCGAGCATGAATTTTGATAGTAAAATTCAATAATTTGCAAGCGTTGTTCGTTCGTAAGTCGATTCATGGTTAAATTGTAGACCAAACTGAACAAGTTTGACAATGACACAAGACACGATTCACGCGTCATCTGTCAAAAACTGTGTTGCCAAAAAGATACTAGCAAAAAAATCACCCATTATATCCTTTTCCTGGCCGGTTTTTCCTCGCGCAATAACGTTGATGTAGGCACAATATGACAATTAGACAACCCAAAACGCTGCAAATTGATCAAGAGGTTAATACATTTGTGTTTTTGGATCGGCCATATTTGAAATGTTTTTATGCAAAAGGGCTCGGCTTTCACAAAAAAGACACTTATTACATTTGGAGTTTTTATCTGGCAGGTGTTTGGCTTCAAGAAGATCTGTGAAGAACAAGACGCCAAGGATCTCGTCGCAGAAGCTGAAAATGGTGAAATGTATGAAATCAACAAAGATGTTAACAAGGAGGTTAACAAGGATATCGACGAAGCTAGTCTCAGAAGCAGAGCTTCTGCTGTTGCTCAGGGTTAAAATGTTTACGCCTTACTTGAATGGATAATTATTTGAAATTATTATCACCTTCCAGTTAAGTAATAGGTCTGCTTTGAATATGGTTAGACAAAGAGAGCTTAGTATTATATTTATTTCCTGAATGAGCTCTATTTTAGATATATGGTTATTTGAAAGCTTAATGCTAGCAACTATTTATATTGTCAATCGTTAACTAACCTTAAGATAAAGGTGATATCTATAGAAAAAGTGTCAAGCCAACTTTGAATAGGGTTTCTTTAAATATGTAAGAAGTTCTGGAAACAGTACCGTTAAGTACGATGCGTTTTATCTTCCCTTTTGTCACTCAACCATAAGCATATCCAAAATTCCTTTTGATCTGTCAAGAATTTTCATTTCTTAAATTGTTGCCACTAACGAAAAGGTACCAAGTATTATATTCCTATCAATTCATTCATGATAAAATGATGCTTCTCTTCAGTACTTGATGCAAGTGGGTAGTAATAATTCTAAGAAAGCTGATAAAAATGGACTGTAAATTGTTAAAATAATTATTTTCTTTGACGTTGTTACAGTAGATTGTAGTCATTCAATTATAATAAGTGTGATATGTATTTGCATTTGCATAGTTGTTTAAATTGTAAATACGTCTAGCCGGATTATTTATTTTATTACAGCATATTGCTCAGTACATGTGTAAGGTATTTTTGTGATTGTATTTTAATAAAGTATTGTTTAGTTGTCTGGAAGAATTTTACTAAAAATTTTGAGCAATACGATGTACCCCGAATTCGACCCCTCATTCCTTGTTATAATAATAATAATAACGTCTTTATTGGATAACCCGGAGGGACATAAACAGCGAAGTTTAGCCAAGGCTACTCTTACACTTAACTGTTTATGTCGGTTACATCTGATGTTCAAAACATGGAAAAAAAAAGAACAATGAAAAAAGAACACATATATACCTAAGTATAAAATACAAATAGACACAATCTATATCTGTAGCAGAAATGCGAGCAACGTGCTTTTAGTATGTTTACGAAAACTTTCCAAAGACATCAATTTAATACTGTTGTCCAACTGATTATAAAATAGTGCTGCATTATATGTAAATCCTCGTTGGAATAATGCAGAAGTGTGTGGGGTGGTTCTGATACTATAACGATTCCTAACAGTCCTGTCATGCACTTCGTAATTAAATCTTAACTTAGCTCTTAGATATTCAGGCTTTGATGACAATATTATTTTATGAACTAAAACTAAGAATTTATGTTTAACCAAACTTCCTAACCTAAGCCAGTTCAATTCCCTATATTTATCACTTACGTGATCGTATTTACGCAACCCATAAAGAAAGCGAACACAGTTATTTTGGATGATTTGAAGACGATTTTTGGTCAATTGATCCAAACATGGATAATAAACGACATCACAGTAACTGAGCATTGACATCACCAAAGATTCGCATAGTTTTTTTCTCAGCTTAAAGTTAAGCAAGTAGCGATTGGAATAAAGAGCCCTAGAACACAGGTAAGTTTGTTTCATCAAATTAGCTATTTGGCTGCGGAATCTTAATTTTGTGTCAATTTCCACTCCTAGTACATTAGCTGTTTGAGTATGACTGTAATGTTATGCCATCAATAGTCAGATGGAAAGAATCTTCGACAGTTTTCCTCTTCTGATCAGAACAAAACAATAACACTTGTCTCTTATCTGGATTAATAGTAAGATTATGTTCCATAGAAAACTGATGTACCTTATCTAAATCAAGCTGTAAAATGTCTGATGAATTTTGCGTATCTGAGGCGTCGAAATGGAATATTATTTGGGTATCGTCAGCAAATGATTGTATCCTTGAATTGTTAACTGCTTTATGCAGGTCACACGTGTAAATCAAAAAGAGCACAGGTCCCAAAGTGAGCCTTGCGGAACTCCTGACGGAATAGTCGTAATATTGGATTGACCGTTATTGATTGCGACACATTGCGTGCGACCGGACAAATAGCTACGGAAAAAACTGACAGCAGCATCATCGAAGCCTATATACCTCAGCTTGGCGCACAAAAGTTTATGATTTATTCGATCGAATGCTTTGGAATAGTCAATTGATACCACTGCTGTTGCTAACTTTTTGTCAACTGCCCTAATAACATTATCACAAAGATCTAACAGTGCCGAGGTGGTACTATGGTGCTTCCTGAAGCCCGATTGACATGACGATATTATTTTTAGTTCCTCTATGTAATGGACAACTTGTTGCTGTATAATTTTTTCCAAAATTTTCGATAGCACCGGCAACAAACTAATGGGTCTAAGATGTTTAAGTTCAGTAGGTTTAGATATTTTAGGGACAGGTATAATTAGAGCCAGCTTCCACAGCTTAGGGTGGTAGCCATTTTCCAACATGAATTTATTATGTGGGTGATATGGAAAAAAGTTACGGGAAGACTTACTTTGACCATGGTTAGTGAGAGGGTGTCAATTCCTTTTGCACCTGATTTGATATCTTTGATTGCCTTCAATATTTCCACCGGCTCGACAACTCGCAAAGAAAAACGATTTCGATTGTACAATTTGTTGCTGTCATAAAACCGACATACATTTTCTGAGACACTGTCGTAACTATAAACTGACATAAAATAATTGTTAATACTATTTGCATCGGCTAGCTCATCTGGTATTGTTTGTTTTGAACGAGATTTTATGTTAAGCCTATTCAGCCCAGACCACAAAGTTTTTAGATTATTTTGATCAGTTAGATTCTGAATATACTCTTTCTTTTTCATTCGAATTTTATGTAGTGCCTTATTCCTCAGCTGTTTGAATTTATCAAGGTCTTTAAGTGATTTACTAGCTTTATATTTGGTAAAAGCTGAATCTTTTTCTTTGATAAGCTTTTCCATTCCCTCATCCAACCAAGGAGATGGCGGTTTATTAACACGTAGTGTCTTAATCGGAGCATGTTTGTTATAAATATTTGTCGTCAGATGTTCCACTTTAGCATCTATGTTATTCATAAAATATAAGTCATCAAGATTAGAGGTACACAGATCTGAAATAAAAGCTGCCTCATCAAACTCACGGAAGTCTCTCACGCATATGAATTTTTGATGCATCTTGCCAGCACTAAGTTTCAGAGTACACATAACAAGCTTATGGTAACAGATATTTCATGAGCATCAAGTACCAAACAGCCAGTGACAAGTTCCGGCTGATTAGTGAAAAATGCAATGAAGCGGTGTCGTTTGTCACCCGTGTAGGAGATGTAACTAACTGTGAAAGCATCAAAATCTGATAAAAGAGACCGTACGTTTAAATGTCCAATTCTTAACTCTTTAATCTTCATAATTAACCCTATCCCTAAGATTATGATAATGAGAAATATATACTGGACATGACTTATCACCTGCCTTATGGGCTACATCAAATTTTGTATGAAACTTGATATTATGGTTAACACAGTTTTTACATTTTTGCGTGCTAGCTTGGCAGTCTCTAATACTATGGTTTTCTGCACATTTAATGCAAGATACGGTCTGCACTCTGCAGTTTTTCGAACCATGACCATACGCACAACAATTAAGGCACTGTAAGACATTGATAAGGTCAGATACATAATGCTTCATCCATCCCAGGTAGACAATCCCCTTATCAATGATATTCTTTCTTACCGTTGGTGGAACTTCGATTACCAGATGCACTTGATTACTTTTTCTCGTTTTCAGCCTTGTGGCTATCTTCATAGTTGACAAATTCTCCTCATCTAGGTTATTCAGCATCACAAGCTTACGGAGTATACTTGCATCGTCGCCCAGATTGTCATCCAGTGTAACATTTTTGACAAGCAATCGAGGGTTGTACTTTTCAGAATTTTTTATTTGATACCCACTGCCTAATTTAGACTTTAGGGCAGCACTGAGTTTGTCTAAGTCAGATCCATCCCTACAGTAAACTGCTGCACCTTGTTTCGTTTTCCTAGTTCCATCTATTCTAATGTCCAGATTTTCCAGGTTCACGCTGCTTTTTATTGATTTAATCACATCAGTATTTCCGTTATTGCTATCCGTTTTTACTAGAAGGACAGCTGATTGTTTGTTTACATGTTTTTTCAGCACACTGCTATACGGTACATTCTGAGAAGTGGAAATACCATGAGAAACTGCTACAGTTTTTGACGCAGCTGTTTCAGAATTTGTTTCTAGTTTTGATTTTAATAACGTGTTTGAATATTCAAGCTCGTTTAATAATTTTTCTAGCAGCTGTTTTTCTCGCCTCAGGCATTCTATTTCCTTGATGTAGATAGGTAATTCGGCATTCTGCTCACTGGGATTCTTGAAGGATTTTTTGCACTTGTCACATAACCAAAACACATTTTCACTTTTTTGTAGGAATTTTTGTATGTCATCTTTTATTGATGCACATTGACTATGGTAACGTTGTTCACAATTTTTGCAGCAGACATATTTTCCATTAACAATAAAATTATCGGAGCAGCGCTCGCACACGTGCACGTCGCTCGACATCTCGTTGATGACCATATTTGAATTGGAGTCTCCACATTAATGAAGTACCAACTTTCATGTTGTTGGTACCATACAGAATAAAAAAAGAGCATTTTCAATAATCCATCTTGTGAGCTCAACCTGAAGTTTCAAATAGCAATGTGTGGAAGACAATACGACAAGAACAGGATTATCCTTATCATTATCAACGGGTGCAAGCGTTACAACCTGAAGATCATCCTAGAAGAGTGGCATTTTTCCAGTGGCCTTAAGATCAGTTCGACACGAAGATTTTGCGAAATTAATTTTGTGCACAGACGAGGCCAGGTTTACACGAAATAGAGTGTACAATTTCGAATTTGAGCAGTAGAAAATACGCATGCTGTAAAAAGAACTCATTTTCAACATAAATGTTTGGGCTGGCATGGTAAATGGCATGCTTACTGGACCCTACTTATCTCCACTTCGACTGACCGGTGAAATTTATTTAGATTTTCTTAGACAAAATCTGCCACAATTTATTAGTGTTCTTCTAAATGTGAGACAGAATATGTGGTTCCTTCCATGACGGGGCTCCACCACATTTTGGACGAGAAGTTCATGAACATCTAAATAGTGAGTTTCCGAATAGATGGACAGAGCGCAATGGAGCCATTTCTTGGCCTGCTCGCTCCCCGGATTTAACGCCTTGCGATTTTTCCTGTGGGGCTAATTGAAAGAGTTGGTGTGTCATGATATACTCTGGAAGAACATAAACAGCGTACTGAAAATGCTTGTGATTTAATTCGTCGACACCAGGATTTTATTTTCGAAGCTTTTAAAGATTCTTGGATTCTCCGAGCAAGATTTTGCGTTAATCGAATAAATGGGGACGATTTTGAACAGTTTTTGTAAAAGCTGTATCCATTTGACTTGATAATGATATTTTTAAAATAATTTTCAATAATATAAACTAACTCTCTTATTATGCAACTTTTATATAGGTGATTTTTGGTATATAAACTCCCTTTGACGAGTCGTATAACCAGTTAAAATAAATTACTCAACTTTGAAAACGCCCTGTATAAAAACCGTTCAATTTTCCATAATTTTTTTTCTCTTAAGGCATTTTTGACAGGTCATTCGTTTTGGTGATATTTAGGTTTGAATATTTTAGGTAAAATCCTAAAATATTCTTCAACATTAATTTAATAATATGGCGTCTTATCCTCAATCAGTAGCGTAGAAACCCACCATTCATTGAACTTTGTCTACATACGCCGCTGATTTTCATGGTTTATTTCGCCTGGTATTACCCATGCCATATACAGGGTGTTTCAGTTTATTGTTGCAAAACTTTAAGATTCGATAGAACTTTTAAAATTAATGCATAAGGTCTATCTAAACATGGGTCGAAAAATGCGTGGCTTCCGAAATACAGGGTGTTTAAATTTACTTTCTAAAATAGTTTTTTTTAAATACTTCTGACAATATTGATGTATAACAGTGAAAATTGGTATACAAAGGTTTTTTGGTACGACAAAACGAACCATGGGCATAGTTTTACTGCAGCCGCTGGAGGGCGCTCTCTACTGTACCTGTGTATTAAAATGATCGAAAAAATTTTCTTAGTGCAATTTTTTGCTTTTTGAATAAAAAACTGATTCTTTGCAGTTTTGAACATAAAAAAGCTCTCTTGTAAATTTTCGTTATAGTTAGCCGTTTTTGAGATATTTCGATTTTTAAGGTTCGATGCATTTTTAATTATTTATGATAAAATAACGTTAAAAAGTCAGTATCTCCATTATTTTTAGAAGTAGGCTGTGCCTGCAAATATTTTTGAAATTGAAAGCAGAATAAGGTTAAACGTCAATTAGTTGACCAATCAAGCGTTAGCGGATATTCATTTTCTGTATGGCTTTGTAAATGGAAACGCAGCAGACGCAGCCAGAAAATACGCACGAAGATTTCCAAACAGACGACATCCAACTCGCTTAGTATTTCTAAGAGTGCATCTCCAAATAATTGAATGGTTTTGGAAATCTCCAAAGGGATCAAAACATAAATGTTCGTCAGCGCAGATTAACCCGTATAATTCTGCGTGAGTTTGATAGAGATTCGACCACAAGTGTTAGGAGAGTTTCTGGTGCCTTGGGAATTTCAGCAAGCCATGTTCACCGTGTTCTTAGAAATGACCATAGACGTCCTTACCATTTGCGACCTGTGCAAGGACTACAGCCAGGGGACGGAGAACGAAGAATCACATTTTGTCAGTGGATTCTTGATAGAACTGATAATAATAGGGAGTTTTTAAGTAACGTTTTATGGACCGGTGAGTCATGCTTCACTAGACGTGGAGTGGTAAATTTTTATAATCAACATATTTGATCGCATGAAAATCCGCATGCAGTTGGGGAAAGAAATTTTCAGTATGAATTTAGTGTGAACGTGTGGATTGGTATCTACCGTAATCCACTATTTGGACCCTACCTTTTGCCTGCAAGGTTAAATGCTGCGACCTTCTTGGAATTTTTAAAGGCTGAACATGCAAATACTCGTATGTGGGATGATGTTATGTTAGATTTAAGAAGATTGGCCTGGTTCCAGCTTGATGGTTGTCCAGCTCATTATTCGAGAATAGTTATAAAACTGGCTGGACGAAAATTATCCAGAAAGATGGATCGGCCGTGGAGGACCAGTCGTCTGGCCTCCACGATCCCCTGACCTAAATCCATTAGATTTCTTTGTGTGGGGATTTCTAAAAGAAAAAGTGTACCAGACTCCCGTAACCACAAGAGATATGCTAATAGACAGAATCAGGAATGCATGTGATGAAATAAGGCCTTATTTGAATAATGCTATACCACGTTCGATCATTCGTAGATGTGAATTGTGTATTGAACAATTGGGTTTACATTTCGAGCAACTACTTTAGATTTTGTATGTTTGTCCTAAGTATCCAATAGCATTTTAGTTGTAAATAATTAATTTAATTTGTTAAAAATAATATTGGAAAATTAAACAAATTAATATTCTGTTTTTTTGTGTTTATTTGGAGTTAGGAATTATTGTTGTGTTTAAAAACACAATCTAAACGATCATCATAATTACTTGTAATGCCCAAATCGAAAATGTAAAAAAAAATATTATTTTCCCATAATGCATCGAACCTTAAAAATCGAAATATCTCAAAAAAGGCTAACTATAACGAAACTCACAGGAGAGCTTTTTTATGTTGAAAAGTGCGAAGAATCAGTTTTTTTATTTGAAAAGCAAAAAATTGCACCAAGAAAAATTTTTCGGTCATTTTAATACACTACAGGTACAGTAGAGAGCGCCCTCTAGCGGCTACAGTAAAACTATGCCCATGGTTCGTTTTGTTGTACCAAAAACCCTTGTGTACCAATTTTCACTGTTATACATCAAATATTGTTCGAAATATTAAAAAAAACTATTTTAGAAGGTAAATTTAAACTCCCTGTATTTCGGAAGCCACGCATTTTTCGACCCATGTTTATATAGACTTTATGCATTAATTTTAAGAGTTCTATCGAATCTTAAAGTTATGCAACAATAAACTGAAACACCCTGTATGTTTGTTTGCCTAAAATCACAACTAGTAATTGTGAAACCATTTTGAGTTCTTTGATAAAACTTACAAAAATCCTGTATAAAATATTTCTCCTGTAGCATCGTGTCAGTGACGACATCACTGCAGATCAGTTGAGAGTTTATTACCCATTGCACAGTCGGCAGCGGCCTCCACGACGATCAGAGAAAAAATTCTCAAAAAAATTATTTTTATTGTTTTCTGAATTTATTTTTCGTGCGATCTAATATAAATTGCACACTAACACAGTCACTTTTTCTCCTCTACAAGATGGCAAAATTGGAATTTCAATATGACGTTTCACCTTTTGTCCTCCAGCATCAACTTTTATTTGTTTTCTTATGGACGCCATATAGGATCTTTGCGCAGATAAATGGGGTTTTTAATTCTGACTTCAACAGCCTTAGTTATTCCAGAAAAACAAGTTCCTAGGTAGGCTTTGAAATTGTCAGATAGTCATTTGTTTCATATACTAAGCCAGACCTCAAATTGAACATACGAGGGGGTACCCAAGAAAAAAACGGAATTATTTTTTAAAAACTATTTATTTTCAACTTTTTCACAAAGTAACCTTATCTGCTTCAAAACACTGACCACTACAACTAATACAGTTGTCCCACCGGTACTTCCACTGCTCTAAATATTTTTGAAGTCTTCTTTAGAAATGTCTGACAGCTCCCCGTCCACTGCAATGCTATTCCGGTTTTTTTCTGGGTACCTTCTCGTAGTAACAAAGTTTGGAAGACTGAGATGAAGGGAAATAAATCGAGGAATGAGCATTGTACAGAGAAGAGTCAGGCTTCGCCTACAAAATAGCGGACAACATTTTGAACATCTGCTTTGATTCACCGCTTATTTATGATTTTTTTATTACCATCAATAAAATTTTCATCAGGTTTAAGCATACCTTTTCATTTCCTTATAATTTACATCCGACAACAAACTCATGGCCAACAAAGGAGACACATTACTAGATTTAGGACTGAAAAGTCCATTTAATTGTACAAAATTCCAATATAGCGACCATATGAAAAAACAGTTGGCGATGGAAAACCTCGAATTGAAAATTTGACTACGCCATTTTGTAAAGGAGAATAAGTGATAAGTACAAAATGAAATTTATTTTGGAACTCCATCTGCAATGAAGTTACGAAAAAGTAGATTACTTACTATACATTTTTGGCATTAGAATTAAAAACTGTATTCATCTGTGCAAAAATCCAACATAATCATTAATAAAAGATAAAGCTGATGCCGGAGGACAAGAGACGAAACGTCACATTGAAATTCTTATTATGCTATGTTGTAGAGTAGAAAACATGGCAATGCAGCGACCGGAACAGGACAGGACGAAAATAATATGAAAATATGAAGATTTTTCTTGGAAATATGAAGAAATATGAACTTAAAAAAAATATGAAGAAAATATGAAGTTTTTTAACCAAATATTAGTGCAAATTGCAAATAATATATTTTTTTAGTAATAATACCCTACCAAATGGCCGGTTAAGACAAACTCAGCTATTTTCAAAATAAATTTTTAACGAAAATACTACTAAACAGAAAAAAGTGGAACATGACCTGGATGGGGTATGGCCTAATAAACAATTAATTCATGAGAAACTTGTTTAGGATTAGAAACAGGTTCAAAACATTGAACGAAACAGGTATGAACAAAAACTTAAACCCAAATAAATCAAACAAACAGTTTATTCTTTTCTCGATCTCTTAGCAAAAAAGTTTGTTATTAAACTTTTTTGCCTCTTGTCTATTTTGAATTTGGGTCACCTCTTCTTCCTTATTCTCTAGTTGTTTTTTTATGTTAAAAATCCCTCAATCAATGCTTCAGCAATTTTGGCTTCTGCAAGGTCACCCTTTTTAATACGCCTTTAAGTCTGTCTGAGGCTTTATTTGTAAGTTTATCTGATTCATCATTTTCATCATTTTCTTTTTGTTTTCTTCTTTTTATTTCTTCTTCTAAACTCATATTATAATTTTTGTAAGCAACTCGTGCCATTGCTATTAAATTTTTGCTAATGGGCACAAGTTCTGGCTTAGCCGTGAATTTAGCATTTTTTCTTTCCTATTTGTTCTTAGCTCACGCATTACTTGATTAGACAAAGAGAACCCTCTTTCAACTTCGGCGCTTCCATGGTTAATACTTAACGCTGTCTTAAATAAAGTTTGAACTGAAGGATATTTTATTTCGCCTGCATCATTCGTTTTTTCAAAATAGTAGTTCTAATATTCTTCTACTCTAACATTTCCTTCTTGAGGCTCTTCCGCTAACTGTAGCAATTTCCATTCGTCAACTCATATTTTCTACTGCTAGGATTAAGACGTCTTAAATATTTAAGATTTTTATTTAACAGGTTATCAGCTGTAATTAAGTAGGATCCGGCGGCCAAATAATGTTTCTGCACATTATGCAAAAATAATATTTTATCCTTTTCTGGAACTGCTAATAACTCTTTTTGTAAATCTTTTTCAAAAATCAAATTCTGTGATGACATTAAATTATTTTTTTCAAAAGGATTAATATTTGAAGGCATTGATTTAAAAGCTTTAATTACATCTTGCTTGCAAATCTTGATGGATATCGAAATAACAAGGTCTTTCAATTCGGAATATATATATGTAATTTTAAACTGTGTAAGCATCATTATAAATCCTATATAAACAAGGTTTACAATGATGACCACTTTCTGAAAAAAATGTTGCTAATACAGCCAAAAAATCGGCCGGAGCAACGTAAAATTCCCGCAGTTGATCTTCATTGGGAAAAAAAAAGTTTTATGAAACTTAAAAAAAATATGAAGAAATATGAAAAATATGAATCTGTTCCGGACCTGCAATGTTAATGTGCAATTTATTTTGAAATCCCACTAAAAATAATCTCGGAAAAACATTAAAACTATTTTGGGTAAATACGGTTTTTTCCTCTCTCTTTGAATTTCAAAACTTTCTAAGCGGCATTTTGTTGATTACCTAAATACGTAAGTTTACCACCTGCAGTTTCCGAAATCCCAGTCGAATTTGGAACACCCGGTATATAAAACTTTTCTGCAATCAACAAACGTGCTATATTACAAGGTTGTTATACGAGATAAACATTTAAAATAATATTCGCCCATCAAAGTTCATTGCTAGGTATCCGGAAGACCTGCGCTCGCATTGGAAAGTAGTCGTATATCTAATTCAGATTGGCGTTTCCGTTTGTTGTCCTCTATAATGTGTAGCAGCGCACTGACTCGAAGGTCCCCCGTTCTTATTTATTAATTACTTTGATTTGATTAAATTCGGACATACTCGTATACTGGTCTTGATCTAACATTTTTCACTGTCGATGACGTATTGGAATGAATATTCATTCAATTCGAGATTGACACAAACTGCAATGAGTTTTTAAGCGCGATGGTGGAGGATATTCTGTATTTTACTTATCACGTTACTGACGAAGAAAAAATCGATAATGAGATATTTTGCTTTTCGGATGTTGATAAAGTATGTAGACAAACTTTAACCATCGAATCCTCGGTCAATTCCCGTATGAACATGGGTCTGCAACGGCTTTGTTTTCAAGCTAGAGCATATTAGCACTAAAAGAAATGATATTGTTCTAAAAAATTATAAAAGAATGGAACGTATTTTATTTTAATATACGAGCCCCTTCCCACTTCAGTTGGCCCACTTCAAGATTTGTACCAAAATATGCCTTTATAAACTAAACATGACGAAACTATTTACTTCTAAAACAATTTATTTTCTCAAAAACATTTTAGATACACTCTAGTCGTAAAAAATACATATTTGAAATCACTTAGACCTATAACTAATACAACATCTGAACAAATAAGCAATGTGCGAATAAATGCGCGAAGTTAACAAGCAACAATTGAAAGATTACCATTGGGTAACATCACCTTTATTTTTTATTACGGCTGAAATTCTTTGGGGCATAGCATTAACCAAGTTTTGGCAAAAATTTGGTGTAAAACAATCCCATATTTCTTGAAGCTTCTGTCTCAGTTCGGTGATTGTACGAGCAGGATGTTGTAGAACCTTTTTCATCTCGTGGCACAAAATTTCAATAGGTGACAGATCTGGACTGCTAGAAACCCATTTCAAAAGTGGTACATTATTGTCTTCCATCCATTTTATAGCCTTTTTTGAGGTATGGCACGCTGCACAATTTTGCTGAAACACAAAATCTTGACCGGATGTCAAACATTCTTCCATCACTGGTAAAAGCGATTCTTCTAAAATTGCCAAATATTTGTTTGTATCCACATTTCCATCAATAAAATGAAGTTTTACTACTCCTTTTGATGACATACTGCCCCAGACCATAATGGATGCTGAAAATTTCACTTTTCTCTTCAGACAGTCAACATGGAATGCTTCATTTTTTTTGCGAATAACTCTACTGCGACTGTCACCAACACAAACTTCGAATCGGGCCTCATCACTCCATTGTATTGCACACCATTGTTCAGGTCTCCATTGTCTATGTTCTTTAGCCCATCTAAGCCGATTTTTCTTTTGCAGTCGAGTTAATAGTGGTTTTTCTTTGGCCTATAAACAAGTTGTGCAACTTTAGGGTTTTTACTTCACTTTTTTTTATAAGAAAACGTACCTTGCAAGTGCTAAATCCCAGTTTGTGGGCCTTTCTATGAGTTGTGGACCTCGAAATTCTCCTTCCAACAGCGTCACTCCACAGAGCACTTAATTTTAAATAATTGGCATGCCTGTTTTTTCACGATTATTCTTCTTAATGCTCTTCGGTCGGGTTGTGATATTATGTACTTTTTTTCACATATCGTGGCTTAATACTAACTGAACCAGTCACGTTATATCTTCTAACAATATTTCTCACACTGTACCGCGATAAGTCTAACAAAGTTGCAATTTCTGAGTTTGATTTCCCAGAATTAAAAAATTAATTATCAGTAACCGAATTTTTTCACTAATAACACTGATCAACAGCCAAAAAATATCCTAAATAAAATCAACAAAATATTACTATTTTTAATGTGCTAAAACCGGAATGAAACTTATTTTTTTCAATATTAGTTCAAGTTTTAGAGATACGGTAATTATATGTGTTCCTGCTGTGACAGTGTTAATATACTGTAATTCACAAGAATGCACGTGCTACATTTTTATATTCGGCAAGGAAAGTTGATGTAATCGGCATGATTGTGTTACGTTATACATACGTGTACTTTGTATTGTTTTATATTAGCGATTTTTTCCTCAGTTGGCTGACAGCGTTCATGCAAGACGTCTCGAAAGTGTGTAAACAATCCAGATCAGTTTTGTTACGTGTGTGGTGATGTGACTTTTGCGTCTCAGACACGGTCTATTACTCCACTAATAACAAAGGCATATCAGCTTTATTTCGGTTGTAAACTAGGTGATCAAGACAAACACTGGGCACCCCACATCTGCTGTAATACATGTGCTTCAAGTCTGAGGAGCTGGTTAAATGGCAAAAACGGTCTATGCGCTTTGCTGTCCTAATGGTTTAGAGAGAGCCTACAAATCATAATAATGATTGTTACTTTTGCATGGTACCTTGTGTTGGACAAGCCACAGGTATGTCCAAGAAAAAAAATCGGTTATTAACTACCCAAACATACCATCTGCGATGAGACCTGTGCCTCACAGTGACGAAAATCCTATTCCAAAACCTCCAGAATCCTACACTTGCGAATCAGAAAACGAATCAGATCATGGCGATCGAGTGATTCGTCAGGAAGAAGATATGAAATCAACGTCAAGAGATCCTGATTTTATACCGAGCACGTCATGCCACCAACCGCACAAAATAACACAGTCAGAATTAAATGATCTTGTAAGAGATTTAGAACTTCCAAAATGTAAGGCAGAGTTACTTGGATCAAGACTGCAGCAGTGGAACTTGTTAGAAGACGATGTTTCGGTATGTGTTCTTCGTAAACGCCACAAGACTTAGAACCATTTTTCAATATGGAGAATAACTTGGTTTTCTGCAGTAACATTAACGGCTTACTGGCGGCTTTAAATATAAACTATAACCCAGAAGAATGGAGATTGTTTATAGACAGTTCAACATTGAGTTTAATGGCAGTGTTATTGCATATTGGAAATATTTTACCATCTCTTCCTGTAGGGTATGCAGTTCACATGAAAGAATCATATGACAATATGAAGTACCTATTGACATGCATAAAATGCGATGAGCACCAATGGCATATTTGTGGCGATTTGGAAGTTGTTGCACTTTTACTTGGGATGCAGCTAGGCTACACAAAGTTTTGCTGTTTTTTGTGTGAATGGGACAGTCGGGCACAGGCACTTCATTACACCAGACAAAACTGGCCTGTTCGTCAATTCCTAGAGCCAGGTCAAAAAAATGTACAGCCTAGAGCCATTAGTAGATTCGAAAAAAATTTTATTACCACCACTGCATATCAAGTTGGCCTAATGAAAAAATTTGTCAAGGCATTAGATAGAGATGGGTCAGCTTTTTAATACCTGCGTCAGAAATTTCCAAGACTAAGTGAGGCAAAGGTTAAAGAAGGTATTTTTGTGGGCCACAGATTCGAAATATTTTAAAAGATACACAGATTGAAAACACTTTAACATGTATTGAAAAACTGCTTGGAATGATTTCCGTCTGGTGGTCACTAATTTCTTGGGAAATAGAAAAGCTGACAACTATAAAACCCTTGTCAAAAATATGCTGTCATCGTATCAAAAGATGGGCTGTAATATGTC